CCCCATAACTTTTTAAGGAGAACCATTTTGCAGATTTAATTTCCATTTTCGTAAACAGCATTCAAAACCCTATCGATCTATCTGGGTCTGAATTCAAAGTTCCAAGATAAGTAGACTACCCCTCCCTGTTAAGACCCTGGCATCGTGCATGTTGGTGTGTGTGTAAAAAACATCGATATACGAGAGTAGGAGAGAAGGGCTCTGTAGAAGAATTAAGAAGAGATACTGATTACTGGAATCGTAGCTCTGTCACCACCAATTGCACCATGGCAGCTCAATCGTCGGTTGAGGGCGGCTTCATTCTTAGAGAATATGAAAGGAACTAGCATGTTTCTGTTTTTCTAAGTGATGCACACCGTTTCCTTTATTTGCAGTTCTTGGAGGTTGTCTGGGCCTAAGCCCAAGCCTACTCAGCTTCACTGACAAGGGCAGCGAAAGTGCTACACTTACCTCCACGCTGTAAAGAACTGATTACCTAATAATCTGTGAATGTTCTACTTTACGCGAATGGGATTTCTTAAATATATTTGTAAAGATTCTTCAATTTCAAACGTAGCCTTTTCAGCTCGTCATAATTTGATGGATGAAAGTGATAGTGAAGAGGAACAGCGTCCTAGTAAACCTCTAGACATTCGCTGTAAAGAACTACCCAAGAAATTTCGACCCCAAAGGTGACTAGAAATTGTGTGCTTTGCTCAGTAATTTAATCGCTTATCTCCATTGCAGTAGCCTGGATTTCCTTCAGAACATTGTGGCAAAAAATTTGACTTCCGATTCAAGGCACTACATTCACACTCTCAGGCGAATACAGCAGTATATGATTCCTCTTGTACTCAATGGTTTGTGTCCATGCTTTTTTTTGCCATTTCATATTTATGTTCCGCTATAAGATTTTTAGAGGTAACTTTAAGAGTTCACATTTCTCGCAATGGGACCGGCAGGTTCGGGAAAAACGACAGGCTATTTACTCCCTTTAGTAAACAAGCTAGTGGAGCTGAAGGAAATTGAGGTGAGCTAGTCCAGTCATAGATGAAAGTTATCTTTCATTTCCTCTAGAGAAACATCCAGCCTCAAATAGGTCTTGATGAAAAGTGCTGTAAAAAATTTTCTCGGTTTGCAGTTATATGGACGTAAGGGCCCAGCGGCTCTTATCGTAACTCATACAGAGAACAAGATTAAACATATAAAGGAGCTCTGCAATAGATACTCTCGAGGTGTGGTGCTTTATCTTTCTTCTTTATTTTCTGTTCAGCATATTCCCAATTTCGAAATGGCTCCTCATCAACGGTTCCTGCATATCATTCCTTCCGATTAGTTGATCTCTGAATTTGGAATTGAATTTGAAATCTGGTAATCAAATGTACATGTCTGGGAGACGGACTACTAGTTTAGTTGCTGTGGCTTTATTTGTTTATAGTGTTCATATATTGCTTTCGCGCAAGCCTTATGCAGACAAAATAGACTTTTATCCTTTTACACTCTCTTTACTCTTCACAACCTCGCTGCTGCTGAGCATTGTTCTTATAGGAGGAGACACTCGATAAAGTGGTTTAAGGTTCTTCTTTGGTGAAGTACTTCACGACTACGGAGGAACTGAACAGGCAATCATCGTTCAATCCCAGCATTGTTATTGATGTCATTTGCGCGTCCGCAACAGTTATGGTTGACGCGCTTGGTAAATATCATGTTGGTACTTTTTTCTATAAAACTTCATCAGATATTTTTAGAGGCATTCACTGGTCGTCGATTGTTTGTTTAAGGGTTTCCACCCGTCTTGTAAGACCACCTAATTAATGAATCGACTACTTGGTGTACTCGAAAATACATTGGTTCCTTTTCTATCTGGAGGTTTCAGGTACCTTTGAAATGGGTCAAATTTCTGGTTATTGAAGAGTTTCACTTCTGCACAGAAGGATCGGAATACAAAGAGAATTTAATTGCGGTCAAAAAACTTCTTTCGAATCATGGAGTCACTGTAAGTAGTTTTTATTAATGTAAACGAACTTCGTGTACAGTGAGAGAAAAAATACTGAATTTACAACTCGTGTAGAATGTAATGTGGGGATTAATTGATGTCGGATTGATGTCATAATTTTGTTCATTTTCGATATTTTGAACCAAAAATCGATGCCAACAATAAAAACATTGGTAAATCTCGTAAAAAATATAAAATTGCAAAACTCTTTGTGGCCTTGTTGGATTGTGTAAACTTCCTGCTGACATGCAGGGTAGCCTCGAGTGCTGCGCGGTTTACGCAAGAGAGTTACTCCAAACTAATGCGGTCGTGGATGCTTGCTGTACAGTTAAAGGAGAGGACCTGAATAATTCGTTCAGCTACAATATAAACATTTATGCAAATATATAGGTGGAGCTCCCCGAGCAGATCCAGTCATTCAAAATCATTTCAGCCGGTCTCCATATTCATATCTACGATAGTGCCAGAAGAAAAGATGATCGATATAAACTTTATGTTGGAAATAGCGAACACTAGAGTGGCAAGACTGATTGCTCCTCCAATGATGGAAGAGTTATCCGTATCTGTGCTACCTGTGAGTATTCCTTCTTTCTGTTGTTACATTATGTATTTTGGCTTACGTTCTAGGAGTTGAAAAAGTTGTATCTTAAACAACTGGAATAGTGAGCGATGAATGATATTTTTGAGATCACATCCTTATCCTATCATACTTATTTATTGAATTTAAATCCTTTGACTTGTGGTTAGGGTCAGTCATGTGACCCGTGAGTTGTTATGGGGGTTACATCCGCTCGAACGCGTTTATTTGGTGGAAGGTTCTGCGGTTCAAATAATTTTCCC